GTACAGGCAGGCATGTAGCCGGGGGGGGGGGGGGCTCGGGGGGCTTCAGCCCCCCCCCCGAAATTCTCATGGTGGTTCGCGAAAAGGACTTACAGGTGCATTACTTAAACAGTTATGTTTATTCATATCATGATCTGATCACCATACTCAATATATCCCATATGCATGGGGGTATTGGGGTAATGATACAAAAGGTTTTTCTTGGTCTTGCAGTTCTTCTGATGTCTGTGGAGTATCCATTGACCTGCAGATCCCAGTTTAGGTGGTTCATTTCACCTTGGAGGAAGTGGGGTTCACAGATCCTTTTTGCAGTCTACCAGGGCTTTCATTGTGCTTCTTTCTTGACTTGGGTGATGGTTGGACCCACTATGATATTGTGGATTTTCTGCCTTGATATTCTTGTGGCTGAGTGGAAGGGCCCTTAAACTTCAAGGCAAATCATATAATTATTTTATTAGTGATAAGACTGCTTACTTCCAGTCTTATCTTGGCATACCATTTTCATTTTTCTAAAATGAGAGGCTTTAGCGTGACATACAACATTGTTTTTTGTGTTCAAGATGAACTGCTCAATTCACATTAATACATTCTGACTGAAAAAAAGCACGTCTGTCATGAGTGCATGATAGTTTAGCTATTCTGGTGCTACTATATTCTTAAACAAGTGTTTTTAATTGGCAGTAAGGAGTACTCTTAGCCATTTCAGAGCCACTGGAGTTCGGCAGCAGCTCTCAGATTGGCAAGTGAGCATTATTTGCAGAAGTGGGCTGAGTGTCCATGAAAGCTCATGCAGTCATAAATCTGCTAGTCTTGAAAGTGTAGGAGGATGTTTTTGCTTTAATGGACTAATATGACTTTGTCATTTGTTGCTTGGGCCTTCAAATTGACTCAGATATATGGCAAGTCTATCACAGTGTTTTCTTGGCAAGATTTATTCTAAGGAGGGCTGTCATTGTTCCCTTCTAACTTCCATAGCTTCCATAGCTCACTGGAGAACCCTCACCTCCTGGAGCCTGAAAGAGAGGCAACCTAGTAAGGAAGGCATCTATTTCAAATACAGGCAGGGCCCTTCCATGCAGTCATATAACTCAGAATAAATGTCTGCTTTGAACTGGGTTATCTGAATCCACACTGCCATATATTCCAGTTCAAAGCAGGTAATGTGGGATTTTATATAGTGGTGTGGAAGGGGTCTCAGTCTCCAACTTACAAACAAGATCGCTTCTATAGGTTTGTTCTTAAGTTGTTTTTCATGTCAGGAACGACTTGAAAAACTGCAAGACGCTTCTTGTGTGAGAGAATTGGCTGTCTGCAAGGGCATTGCCTAGGGGATGCCTGGATGTTTGATGTTTTACCATCCTTGTCGGAAGCTTCTCCCATGTCCCCGCATGAAGAGTTGGTGCTAACAGAGGGAGCTCATCCGCGCTCTCCTTAGAATTGAACCTCCAACCTGTCGGTCTGCAGTCCTGCCAGCACACAGGTTTAACCCATTGAGCCACCAGGTTATCAGTATGTAAGTCTGAACAAGTACATCTTTAAGTGTGACTCCAGCCAAAGCTATATGTTTTTAAGCTTTGGATAGCATAGGGAAGGATTAAAACTATCTGTACCCCTATTCAGAAGATTTCACACCACTTTCTATCCCTGTGATAATTGGATATTGTTGTTTTTGTCAGTGTAGATGCATTGGTCAGAGCATTAATAAAATTGATTGATTGATCATTGGATGTTAAAAAATCTGGGTTGTTGTGGAAACAAGGATTGGTGAGAAAGCTTCAGTGGAAACCCCTTTCCCCCATGATAACTCTTTCAGGAGTGAATTTCCCTTCTGAGGGGTAGATTTTTCTCATTTGTTTCACCCCATTCTTAACCAGGAGTCATTTGTAAGTCAGACGTTTGTAACTTGGGGACTGCCTGTATAGGGTTTGCTATTATCCACAACTTCATATATCTGTGGGAATCTTGGAGTGCATTCTCTTTGGATATTTTATTTTTTATTTTTTGAGAAATTGCTGAAGTCGCTTCTGGTGTGAGAGAATTGGCTACCTGCAAGGATGATGCCCAGATGTGTTATCATCCTGTGGGGGGCTTCTCTTATGTCCCCGCATCAGAAGCTGGAGCTGACAGGTGGGAGCTCACCCTGCTTCCTGGATTTGCACCTCCGATCTTTCAGTCAGCAGTCCTGCCGGCACAAGGGTTTAACCCATTGTGCCACTCGGTCATACTGCAGTCCCCAAGAGGTGAATGCTTGATCATTCTCATGCAGGCGTTCCTTTCTGCGCATGGCAGAATCCTAGTCCAACACTCAAACTATTACACCGAAAGTGTGAAAAGCAATGTCCATGGGCTACATCTCACCCACCCTGGCATTTTAAGTGGGCTGCAAGGCTTTCGACACCAGGGCAACATAGAGCCACCCGCTACATCATGCCCATGCCCACCACCTCTACGTGGCCAAGGATCATTTATAGAGTCTTACAAATGGCCCTTGTAGCCTTGGAATTTATTTATCATATCAGGAGTGGACCACATGTACAGTTGTAATGTATTTTAAAAAGAACACAAAGTTTAAACTTGGCATTATATTAAATGTCCTTTGACCACTTGGAGTGTCTCTGGTGTTGCTATAAGGAAGTCCTCTGTTGTGCATGTGGCAGGGCTTAGACTGCATTGTAATAGGGTCTATGGTTTGCTTGCATGCCGTGGGCTCCACTTTATGGTCCCATTTCTTAAGGTTGGCTCTGCTTCTCATGGTGCCAGAGCTCAGCCTGTTCAGTGCCAAGTCGCCCAGTCTTCTGTGTGTCCAGGGGGGCACACAGAAGAGGTTGAGGTTCTGGGTTTCAGCCTGCCACTTTTGGACTCTTGCTTGCTGAGGTAATAGTGTACTACACTAAGTTGGCTCTCTTCCTAATCCATCTATCCCTTGGGAAAATCTCTTCCATCAATTACAGCCTGTCTTCCTATACTCAGCACAAAGTGTGGATTTGGCAGTCTGCGCCTTGTTTGTGAGTCAACAACATGCACCTATGCATTTCAGCCCAACCTGGAAGTTACCGGGAGGGGGCCAGGACGGGATAATCGCTGTGTAGAAAAGGCAGGCCACAGGGTGAAGGAGCGGGAGAGCATTGGCAAGCGTCCCTTGCTTGGAAGGGATCTCTTCAGCACAACACAGGGCTCGGGGCTCCTCGGGGAGAGCAGAAGGGGAGCCCCGCGGCTTCTTCTTCCTGCCATCCCTCCGCCCCTCCCGGGTACAAATAGACACGACTTCTGTGGAGGTCGGCTTCCCTTGGCACGGATCCCGCGGCGAGGCGGCGCCTTTAACCGGACTCTTCCCGAATCACCTGCCCGAAAGCGCTGTCCTAATCGGCTCCGCAGGCGCCAGAAGCTTTTGCAGAGAAGACGCGTCTCCTCCGTCCCCCGTCCCCCCCTTCGCGCGGCGGAGTCTTGAGTGGGGAAGGCGAGAGAGCGGCTCCCTCCGCGCAGATCCCCGAAAGGAGGCTTCCACCGGGCGCTCGGATATCCTTGTCTCTTGGGGATCTCCCCCCTCCCTCGTCGCTCGAGTCGGCTTTCCATTTGAGGACTGACGGATACGCTTAGCTTTCGGGAGGACGAGCGCTCTTGGCTCTCGAGGAGCCGTTCCCAGCCCACAGGCCCCTCCAGCGCCAAGCCGCCGCCTCCCCGTCCCATCCTTGCTTCCCTCTCGGGCAACAGAGACCCACGAGGGGACGACGAGCCCCCAAAGCAGAGGAGAGAGTGAGAGAGGAAGAGAGAGAGGGGGGAAGAGGGAGGGAGATAGAGAGGAAGAGAGAGCGAGAGGGAAAGAGGAGGAAGAGGGAGAGAGAGGGGAAGAGAGGGGAAGAGAGAGGGTGAGGAAAAGAGATGCAGGGAGAGGGGGAAGAGGGAGAGGAAGAGTGAGGAAGAGAGAGAGGGAGAGAGAAAGGGGGTGAGGGAGAGCGAAAGAGAGAGAGAAAGAGAGAAAGAGGAAGAGGGTGAGGAAGCGGGAGAGGCAGGAAGAGGGAAAGAGAGAGAAGTCGAGGGGAAGAGGGAGGGAGGGAGAGGGGAAGAGAGGAGGGAAGAGGAAGAGGGAGGGACAGGAAGAGAGAGAGGGAGAGAAAGGGGACGAGAAAGGGAGAGAGGGAGAGGAAGAGACAGGAAAAGAGAGAGGGAGAGAGGGGAAGAGAGAGGAAGAAAGAGGGGGGAGAGAAAAAGAGGGGGGAGAGGGAAAGAGAGGTAGAGACAGGAAGAGAGAGAGGGAGGAAGACGAAGAGGGAAAGAGAGAGAGAGGACGAGAGGAAGAGGGAGAAGAGGAAGAGGGAGGGAGGGAGGAAGAGAGAGAGGAAGAGAGAGGTGGGGGGAAAGGGAGAGAAAGAGGTATCTGCCGGCGCCGTCTTCCCTTTCGCTCTTCCTCCTCCTCCTCCTCTGCTGCTGCTGCGTGTGCGTGAGCGGAGGGGGCCAAGCAAGGCACCCGGCGAAGCTCAAGCCGAAGAGGAGGATCCCGTTTGCGCCGCGGCGAGTTTTGAGAGCCCGGCCGGGGAGGACCCTCGCCGAGGAGCGACGCATCCCTGGCTTCCCGCTTGGCCGCAGAGTCCTGCTTCCTTTCCGTCTCTCTCCAAAGGCAGGGCGAGGACCGCAGGAGCCCCGAGCGGCGCCCAAGTTGCGCCCGAAAGCACCAGTAGCGGCGGCGGAGGCGGAGAGGCGGGGGGCGTTCCCTGGGCGCGCTAAGCCCCGCCCCTTCCCCGCCCCCCTCCCACATGGGGCGCGCGGAGCCTTCCTCCGGCCTCCGGGGCCGCTCTTAGGGACTCCGGCGAAGGGACACCCGCAGCGGCTGCGGCAGAAAGAAGAAGAAGAAGAGGAGGAGGAGGAGGGAGAAGAAGAAGAAGAAGGAGAAGAGGGAGCAGAGGCGAGGAGAGGAGTCTTCTCCTCCTCCTCCTGATTCCCTAGCGCGGCTCTGCTTCTTCTCTTTCCCTTTCTTTTTCCCGCCTTGCTGCCTTCTTCCCGTGCGCCGCTGCCCCTGGTGCCTCGCTGGCTGTGGAGGGGCGCGGGAGCGGCCTCGGGGTCGGCGGCGAGGGCTGCCTCCTTGCAGCGCGTCTCTTTCCCTCGGCGGCGGCGGCGGCGGCGGCGGGCGGAGGCCGGGGATGGAGGAGGACGAGGAGTCTCCGGGCGGCGTTGGCGCTGGGCGGCGGGCGGGCGGCGGGCGCGCTCTCTCGGGCCAGTGGGCGGACGCGGCGGCGGCGCGGCCCCGCACCACGGAGCGGCACATCACGGTCCACAAGCGCCTGGTGCTGGGCTTCGCGGTCTCCATCCTGGCCCTGCTGGTGGTCACCATGATCGCCGTCCTGCTCAGCGTCCGCATCGAGGAGTGCGGCGCGGGAGCGGGGGACCCGGCGGTGGCGGCTGCGGGGCGGGCGGGCAACGGGAGCGCCCCTCCGGCCGGAGCCCGCCTCAACCAGCCGCACCTCCCCGGGGAGCCTTCCCCCGGAGCGGACGGAGGGGACTCGGCCCCGGCGGAGGCGGAGGAGGAGGGCGAGCGGCCGGCGCCCTGGACCCTGCCCCGCCTGCCGGGCCACCTGCGCCCGCTCCACTACAACCTGATGCTGAGCGTCTTCTTGGAGAACTTCACCTTCAGCGGCGAGGTCAACGTGCAGGTGGAGTGCCTCCGCGCCACCCGCTACGTGGTGCTCCACGCCCACCGCCTCCGCGTCGAGGCCGCCCGCCTGGCCGAGGACCGCCTGGCCGGAGCCCTCGCCGTGGCCGGCTTCTTCCTCTACCCGCAGACCCAGGTCTTCGTCCTCGTCCTCAACCGCAGCCTCGAGGCCCAGCGCAGCTACAACCTCAAGATCCTCTTCCACGCGCCCATCGAGAACGAGCTGCTGGGCTTCTTCCGCAGCTCCTACGTCCTCTACGGAGAGAGAAGGTAGGCCACCGCCCGCCACCCACCCACTTTCCCTCCCGTGGGAGGAATTAGCCTGCCCCCTTTGCCCACTGACCTCCAGCCACGCTCCTGTCATAACTTCTTCTGGCACCAGGGTCTCCTAGCCAAAGTTCATGTCCTTCAATCTCTGAGGACGCCTGTCATCGATGTGGGCGAAACTTCAAGAGAGAATGCTTCAGGAACATGGCCATACAGCCTGGAAACTCACAGCAATCCATTCATGTCCATCTGTTTGATCTGCTAGTTCAGCAGAGTCAGCATAGACACTCTTTTCAGTAGTTTGTTTGTGTTCCTCCTGATCTGGGCTAACAACCTGTGCTGCTGCTTCCTCTTCTGCCTCCTTGGTTTCTCCACCATTTTCCATGTCCATAACCTGCTCTCTCTTTCCTATCCCTTGGCTCTACTCCTGCCACTCCCCCCCCCCCAGCCGCTGACAGGAATTAACTTACCCCCTTTGCCCACTGACCTCCAGCCACACCCTATCATGTCTTCTTCTGGCACTAGGGTCTCCTAGCCAAAGGTCACATCCTTCAATCTCTGAGGATGCCTGTCATCGATGTGGGCGAAACTTCAGGAGAGAATGCTTCGGGAACATGGCCATACAACCTGGAAAACTCACTGCAATCCATTCATGTCCATCAGTTTGATCTGCCAGTTCAGCAGAGTCAGCACAGACACACTTCTCAGTAGTTTGTTTGAGTTCCTCCTGATCCGGGCCAACTACCTGTTTTGATTCTTCCTCTTCTGCCTCTTTGGTTTCTCCACCATTTTCCATGTTTATACCCTGCTGCCTCTTTCCTTTCTCTGGTGTCTCTTCCCCCCCCCCCCCCCCCCCCCGCCTCTGCTGGGAGGAATTAGTCTGCCCCGTTTGCCCACTGACATCCAGCCGCACTCCTATGATAACTTATGTTCTTTGTAAAGTACAAGAAGATCCTGGCAAAAGGTTCTCCTCACCAACGTTCAGGTCCTGCTGTTTGATCTGCCAGTTCAGCAGAGTCAGCGCAGAAACTGTTTTCAGTAGTTTGGTTGAGTTTCTCCTGATCCGGGCCAACAACCTGTGCTGCTTCTTCCTCTTTTGCCTCCTTGGTTTCTCCGCCATCTTCCACATTCGTATCCTGCCCCCTCTTTCCCTTTTCTTAGCTCTCCTCCTGCCACTTTCCTCTCTCTCTCTCTCTCTCTCTCTCTCTCTCTCTGCTGGGAGGAATCAGGCAGTTTACTCACTGACCTCCAACTACACTCCTATCATAACTTTTGTTTGTTCTTTGTAACACAAAAGAAGATCCTGGCACCAGGTTCTCCCAGCCAAAGTTGACGTCCTTTTGTTTGATCTGCCTCTCTCTCTGACCTGCAGTCAAACTCCTATAACAACTTCAACAACTTCTGTTTCTGACCTGTGGGTGTCTTAGTCATGGAGGCTTGGTTCACATCCTTTTGTTTGATCTGATAGTTCAGCAGAGTCAGAACACTGTTTTCAGTAGTTTGTTTGAGTTCCTTCTGATCCCAGCCAACAACCTGTGCTGCTTATTCCTATTCTGCCTCCTTGGGTTCGTCACCATCATCCACATCCATATCCTACCCCCTCTTTCCCTTCTCTTGGCTCTCCTCCTGCCACTTACCTTTCTCTCTGACTTGCAGCCAAACTTCAATAAGAATAATAACAACAACAATTTTAACAACTTCTGTTTTTGACCATTGGTTTTCTTATTTGTAGAGGCTTGGTTCATGTCTTTCTGTTTGATCTGCCACTTCAGCAGAGTCAGCACAGACGCTTATTTTTAGGGTTTTCAGTAGTTTGTTTGAGTTCCTCCTGATCCAGGCCAACAACCTGTGCTGCTACTTCCTCTTCTGCCTCCGTGGTTTCTCCACCATCTTCCACATCCATATCCTGCCTCCTCTTTCCCTTCTCTTGGCTCGCCTCCTGCCACTTACCTCTCTCTCTCTTACCTCACACACTCTCTCTCTCTGCTGCTGGGAGGAATTAGCCTTCCCCATTTGCCCACTGACCTCCAGCCAAACTCCTATCATAACTTCTGTTTATTCTTTGTGACATACAAGAAGATCCTGGCACCAGGTTCTCCTAGCCAAAGTTCATGTCCTTCTGTTTGATCTGCCACTTCAGCAGAGTTGGCACAGATACTGTTTTCAGTCCAACTTGCAGCCAAACTCCAATAGGAGTAACAACAACTTCAACAACTTCTGTTTCTGACCTGAGGTTCTCTTAGTTGTGGAGGCTTGGTTCATGTCCGTCTGTTTGATCTGCCACTTCAGCAGAGTCAGCACAGACACTTATTTTTAGGGTTTTCAGTAGTTTGCTTGAGTTCCTCCTGATCCAGACCAATAACCTATGCAGCTGCTTCCCCTTTTGCTTCCTTGGTTTCTCCACCATCTTCCAAATCCATATCCTATCCCCTTTTCCCTTCTCTTGGCTCTCCTCCTGCCACTCCCCCCCCTCTGCTGGGAGGAATTAGTCTGCCCCGTTTGCCCACTGACCCCCAGCCATACTCCTATGATAACTTCTGTTCTTTGTAAAGTACAAGAAGATCCTGGCACAAGGTTCTCCTCGCCAAAGTTCAGGACCTGCTGTTTGATCTGCCAGTTCAGTAGTCAGTGCAGACACTGTTTTCAGTAGTTTGGTTGAGTTCTGCCGTATCTAGGCCAGCAATCTGTGCTTCTTCCTCTTTTGCCTCCTTGGTTTCTCCACCATCTTCCACATTCATATCCCGCCCCCTCTTTACCTTCTCTTGGCTCTCCTCCTGCCTCTTTCCTCTCTCTCTCTCTGCTGGGAGGAATTAGGCTGCCCTGTTTGCCCACTGATCTCCAGCCACACTTCTATGATAACTTCTGTTTGTTCTTCGTAACATCCACGAAGATCCTGGCATCAGGTTCTCCTAGCCAAAGTTCAGGTCCTTCCATTTGATCTGCCAGTTCAGCAGAATCATCACTGACACTGTTTTCAGTAGTTTCTTTGAGTTCCTCCTGACTCGAGCCAAAAACCTGTGCTGCTGCTTCCTCTTTTGCCTGCATGGTTTCTCCACCATCTTCCACATTCATATCCTGCCCCCTCTTTCCCTTCTCTTGCCTCTCCTTCTGCCACTCCCCCCCTCTCTCTGCTGGGAGGTATTAGGTTGCCTCATTTACCCCTTGGCTTGCAGCCAAACTCCTATCATAATAATAACTTCTGCTTTATGTGTTGTTGAAGGCTTTTATGGGCAGAATCACTGGGTTGCTGTGAGTTTTCTGGGTTGCTGTGAGTTTTCTGAGCCCGGAAAACTTTTCTTTTTTGTCATGTACAAGACCCTGGCCTGAGGTTCTCTTAGTCATGGAGGCTTGGTTCATGTCCATCTATTTGATCTGCCACTTCAACAGAGTCAGCAGAGACACTTATTTTCAGTTTTTTTAGAAGTTTGTTTGAGTCCCTCCTCATCCAGTCCAACAACCTGTGTTGATCTTTCTCTTCTTTGTCCTCAGCTTCTTCATCCTCTTTTGCATTCAAACTCCTAGCTTCTCCAGTGTCTCAGGCCTCGTCTCCACTCACCATTTAATTCAATTTGAAGCTAGCTTCATCCTGTGATGGCCAGAGAACAAGCTCCCACAAAAGTGCATGAAAGAAAGCTCTTAATGTGCATCAGTGCCCTGTGGTTGGTGTCAGCACCATCTGGGCCTCAAACTGGTTCCAGTATTTTTCTCTGTGATCATTTACACAGCAAAACCACTTTTGAAACTGCATGAAATGGTCACTGTTGGTTGATCTTTCCACCTTCTTGCAGCCATTATCTCAGCCTGTCATTCCTGCCACCCTTCTCTGTCTTCTTTTTTTGAAGGGAAAGCACATATAGGTCTTGCTTTTTCTTTTCATTTCAGCAGCACCTGAAGTGAAAGCCAGTTGACCCAAACTTTTGCAAAAGTTTCCACCTGCAGGTTCTTTCAAGCTTCTTCCCACCATAGAAGTGCACAATTAGAATAAGGTCTGAAACACAAGTCAGGAATCCATTCCATTCCTGTTGCTTTTCTCAGTCTTAACACTTTTAAAAATCCTACCAAAAGAGTGTCAGATAGACAGAGGTGGGAAGCTAGGACCTTGCAGTCCTGAGCAAGGAGAGCAAAATAATGAAGCGACATTATGGACTCTTTTAATGTTGTAGCTCTTGTTTCTGACACTTCTACCCTTTAAGATGCTTTAATTCTGACACATGGTGAAGGTGGAAGGTCTCTTTGAGACGTGAGCATCATATAGAAATTCTATCAGGGCTTGCCACTTGATTATTTTGTACCAACAGCCTTTCTCGCTGGGGTCCCCACCTTATTATATTTACATTGCATTATTTAGTAGGAACTTCAAGCAAAGTGAGAACAGAATGAATGCCTAGAGGATCAATATAACACAACATGTAACAGCCCTAGGAAGAAAGGGACAGTCCTTGCTTTAAATAAATGTTGCCTGCTATGAGGGCAGTTTAGCTTGTGCATACACATGCCAGCATGGCTTTTGGACTCACCTGTTGGAGTCACCTGTATAAACATAGAAAGGTGCATTCCCTTTGAACTTCTTCATAACCCATAATCTTAATTGTCCATACCATGGACCAAATCAGGTGTGATACTGTGAAAGGTTGAAGTTTACGTATATTGAAATCTGTAAAATACCTGGTTCAACTAGCTGTAACGCACCCTTTCCACATTCACACACACAACTGTGCAGGTTGGAGAGTGTTCTAGGAACAGATCTTTGAACAGACACCTTTCCCATCTTCTGTTGAAATCAGCAGAAGATGAAAAAGGAATCATTTCGAGAAAGGTAAAGATAAAGTTTTTAGTGAGACGCTGTAAATGCAACTTCCAGCAGAGGAGGCTAGCTGAGCTATTTCAAGGGTACACTTTACCAGGAGAACATGATTCAAGAGCATTTCATTCAAAGTATTGACAACTTGAGAGCAAATTTCATGTTGTGATGTAGCTGCATGTAGGGAGGTTCCAAGAGAACT